CTTCGGAGGAGTTAGCGAAATTCCAATGTGTGCAGATCGGCAAAAAATGCGAAATAACCCTTTAACCGTACATTTGACAGATATGCGCGCATTGACTTTTTCGTAGATCTTATTGAGATACATGTGTGTGTCAATTTTTGTGTCATTTTGCCAAAGCGTACAGGTGTTACACTCAACAATGTGTATTTTCACCTTAGGGGACAAGAAAAAATTGACTTTTTTCTCCTGCCATGGGGGGGCGCTCTTTTGCCGAGTAAAAATTCCTTCACAAATGTGTTGATGGCTGGACATTGCATCATCCTAGAAAACTTGGAGGCCAGTGAGGGCAAAAATAAAAAGTTATAAGACTTTTAAATATGTGGATCTTAGGGTTATCTTTGGCGCCCCCTAGAACCTAAACCGTGGGGTGCAGCGTCATGATTTGAATAACTTTTAATGGCCATGGGGTGTAGATTGGCCTGAGCAAATGTGGTGCCGGTGGAACGAAAGCCTTCGGAGGAGTTAGCGAAATTCCAATGTGTGCGGATCGGCAAAAAATGCGAAATAACCCTTTAACCGTACATTTGACAGATACGCCCGCACTGACTTTTTTGTAGATCTTATTGAGATACATGTGTGTGTCAATTTTTGTGTCATTTTGACAAAGCGTACAGGCGTGACAGTGAATAGTGTGAATTTTCACCTTAGGGGGCGCTATGGAGCCATTTTGCATTTTCTTGTTTGGGCGACTTCGGAATATCAAATTTTTCACCAGGCCCGGTCGTCCTGCCAAATTTCATGAGTTTTCGCCAGTGGGAAGTGGGCCATTTTCCAGTTCAAAGGGGAGGAAAAATAATAACTAGGACCCCGTTGGGGCACTGGCGGGCCCGAGCCGTGTCGCGCCCCCCCCCCCCCCCAACGTGCTGCCTCCCCGTCCCATTTGTGTCCTCTGGCCATCGCCCTCTCTGGTAACGCCCATCACTGCAAAGACCCTTTTCCTTCATCGGCGTTTGCTGTTCTTCCTGCCAGTGCGTGTTGCTTTCACTTACACTTGCCACAGCCAGCCTCGTGAGTGCCTAGCCTATTGGATATCACTGTCACCTACACAGGACAGTCATTACCTTTCTATCAATACTTTGTGTTTTAATTTCACATTAATTTCCATATTGTATAAACGACTGGAAAAAACTTGAGCCCCTGCCCCTGTATAATCATGTGCACGTCTCTGTTCTAGCTCCAAGGTGAATCTTCACTGCTCATGTTCTCCTCAGAAGCACTCACCTCACTCCCCTCAGGTTACTGTACACATGCACCAACTGCCTGCTTCAGGTTTGGATGGAGCTTCATGGTTGTCTTTTGGAGAAATGAACAGTCAAGTTGTGTTTGAAATTTGATTTTTTTCAGGGGCAAAAGGAAGCCTCTGCATTCTTGTCAAATATGTAAACAGCATGTTTTTGCAGGTGCTAAAAAACAGACTCTGAGTGTGTGTGTGTGTGTGTGTGTGTGTGTGTGTGTGTGTGTGTATGTTGGCGTGTGTGTATATGTGTGTGTATCCTGCAGTACTCTGTACTCCTGCAGTGGCCAAAAAGACTTTTAAGAATGTGGATTTTTGGGTCATCTTTGGCGCCCCCTAGAACTGCAGTACTCTGTACTCCTGCAGTGGCCAAAATGACTTTTAAGAATGTGGATTTTTGGGTCATCTTTGGCGCCCCCTAGAACGTAAACCGTGGGGTGCAGCGTCATGATTTTTACAACTTTGAATGGGCATGGGGTGTAGATTGCCCTGAGCAAATTTGGTATCGGTGGGACGAAAGCCTTAGGAGGAGATAGCCACATTCCAATGTGTGCGAATCGGCAAAAAATGCAAAATAGCCCTTTAACCGTACATTATAAAGATACGCGCTCTCTGACTTTTTTGTAGATCTAATTGAGATACACATGATTGTCAATTTTTGTGTCAATATGACAAAGCGTTCAGGCGTGACACTCAACAATGTGTATTTTCATGTAAGGGGACAAGAAAAAATTGACTTTTTTCTCCTACCATGGGGGGGCGCTCTTTTGGGGAGTAAAAATTCCTTCACAAATGTGTTGATGGCTGGACATTGCATCATCCTAGAAAACTTGGAGGCCAGTGAGGACAAAAATAAAAAGTTATAAAACATTTAAGAATGTGGATTTTTGGGTTATTTTTGGCGCCCCCTAGAACCTAAACCATGGGGTGCAGCATCATGATTTGAATAACTTTTAATGGCCATGGGGTGTAGATTGGCCTGAGCAAATGTGGTGCCGGTGGAACGAAAGCCTTCGGAGGAGTTAGCGAAATTCCAATGTGTGCGTATCGGCAAAAAATGCGGAATAACCCTTTAACTGTACATTTGACAGATACGCGCGCATGGACTTTTTTGTAGATCTTATTGAGATACATGTGTGTGTCAATTTTTGTGTAATTTTGACAAAGCGTACAGGCGTGACAGTCAATAGTGTGAATTTTCACCTTATGGGACAAGAAAAAATGGACTTTTTTCTCCTGCCATGGGGGGGCGCTCTTTTGGGGAGTAAAAATTCCTTCACAAATGTGTTGATGGCTGGACATTGCATCATCCTAGAAAACTTGGAGGCCAGTGAGGGCAAAAATAAAAAGTTATAAGACTTTTAAATATGTGGATTTTAGGGTTATCTTTGGCGCCCCCTAGAACCTAAACCGTGGGGTGCAGCGTCATGATTTGAATAACTTTTAATGGCCATGGGGTGTAGATTGGCCTGAGCAAATGTGGTGCCGGTGGAACGAAAGCCTTCGGAGGAGTTAGCGAAATTCCAATGTGTGCGGATCGGCAAAAAATGCGCAATAACCCTTTAACCGTACATTTGACAGATACGCCCGCACTGACTTTTTTGTAGATCTTATTGAGATACATGTGTGTGTCAATTTTTGTGTCATTTTGACAAAGCGTACAGGCGTCAGGTGAATTTTTCACCTTAGGGGGCGCTATGGAGCCATTTTGCATTGTATTGTTTGGGCGACTTCAGAATATCAAATTTTTCACCAGGCCCGGTCGTCCTGCCAAATTTCATGAGTTTTCGCCAGTGGGAAGTGGGCCATTTTCCAGTTCAAAGGGGAGGAAAAAGAAACTAGGGCCCCGGTGGGGCACTGTCGGGCCCGAGCCGCGTCGCGCCGCCCCCAGCGCGACCACCTCCCCCTCCCGATCGCGTCACACTCAAGGTCCAAAGATGGTGTGCGCACTTGTCTGTGGTCATTTCCCATTATAATGAATGGGAGGCGCAGTTTCTACCAAAACACTCGCTGCAGACAAACTACATATCCTATTTGAAAAAAGTCTGGACCATGAGTGAGGGCACAAACACAGCTAGGATATATCCAAACGGCAAGTTGCTCCTCGTTACAGTGTTGCCGGGAGAGCGATGCGATTGAGCCATTGAGTGATGGGCAGGAAAAACTTGACTGTTTCTCCTGCCATGGGGGATGGGGGATGGGGGGGGGAGATGTGGATTCTTTTAAGAATGTGGATATTTGGGTCATCTTTGGCGCCCCCTAGAACGTAAACCGTGGGGTGCACCGTCATGATTTTTACAACTTTTAATGGCCATGGGGTGTAGATTGGCCTGAGCAAATTTGGTGTCAGTGGGATGAAAGCCTTAGGAGGAGTTAGCCACATTCCAATGTGTGCGAATCGGCAAAAAATGCAAAATAGCCCTTTAACCGTACATTTGACAGATACGCGTGCATTGACTTTTTCGTAGATGTTATTGAGACACACGTGATTGTCAAATTTTGTGTCAATATGACAAAGCGTACAGGCGTGACACTCAACAATGTGTATTTTCACCTTAGGGGACAAGAAAAAATTGACTTTTTTCTCCTGCCATGGGGGGGCGCTCTTTTGGGGAGTAAAAATTCCTTCACAAATGTGTTGATGGCTGGACATTGCATCATCCTAGAGAACTTGGAGGCCAGTGAGGACAAAAATAAAAAGTTATAAGACTTTTAAATATGTGGATTTAGGGTTATATTTGGCGCCCCCTAGAACCTAAACCGTGGGGTGCAGCATCATGATTTGAATAACTTTCAATGGCCATGGGGTGTAGATTGGCCTGAGCAAATGTGGTGCCGGTGGAACGAAAGCCTTCGGAGGAGTTAACGAAATTCCAATGTGTGCGCATCGGCAAAAAATGCGAAATAACCCTTTAACCGTACATTTGACAGATACGCGGCATTGACTTTTTCGTAGATCTTATTGAGATACATGTGTGTGTCAATTTTTGTGTCAATATGACAAAGCGTACAGGCCTGACAGTCAATAGTGTGAATTTTCACCTTAGGGGACAAGAAAAAATGGACTTTTTTCTTCTGCCATGGGGGGGCGCTCTTTTGGGGAGTAAAAATTCCTTCACAAATGTGTTGATGGCTGGACATTGCATCATCCTAGAAAACTTGGAGGCCAGTGAGGACAAAAATAAAAAGTTATAAGACTTTTAAATATGTGGATTTTAGTGTTATCTTTGGCGCCCCCTAGAACCTAAACCTTGGGGTGCAGCGTCATGATTTTGATAACTTTTAATGGCCACGGGGTGTAGATTGGCCTGAGCAAATGTGGTGCCGGTGGAACGAAAGCCTTCGGAGGAGTTAGCCACATTCCAATGTGTGCGGATCGGCAAAAAATGCGAAATAACCCTTTAACCGTAATTTTGACAGATACGGCCGCACTGACTTTTTTGTAGATCTTATTGAGATACATATGTGTGTCAATTTTTGTGTCAATATGACAAAGCGTACAGGCGTGACAGTCAATAGTGTGAATTTCCACCTTAGGGGGCGCTATGGAGCCATTTTGCATTTTATTGTTTGGGCGACTTCAGAATATCGAATTTTTCACCAGGCCCGGTCGTCCTGCCAAATTTCATGAGTTTTCGCCAGTGGGAAGTGGGCCATTTTCCAGTTCAAAGGGGAGGAAAAAGAAGAAACTAGGACCCCGTTGGGGCACTGGCGGGCCCGAGCTGTGTCGCGTCCCCCCCCAACGCGCTGCCTCCCCGTCCCATTTGTGTCCTCTGGCCATCGCCCTCTCTGGTAACGCCCATCACTGCAAAGACCCTTTTCCTTCATCGGCGTTTGCTGTTCTTCCTGCCAGTGCGTGTTGCTTTCACTTACACTTGCCACAGCCAGCCTCTTGAGTGCCTAGCCTATTGGATATCACTGTCACCTACTCAGGACAGTCATTACCTTTCTATTAATACTTTGTTTTTTAATTTCACATTAATTTCCATATTGTATAAACAACTGGAAAAAACTTGAGCCCCTGCCCCTGTATAATCATGTGCACGTCTCTGTTCTAGCTCTAAGGTGAATCTTCACTGCTCATGTTCTCCTCAGAAGCAGTCACCTCACTCCCCTCAGGTTACTGTACACATGCACCAACTGCCTGCTTCAGGTTTGGATGGAGCTTCATGGTTGTCTTTTGGAGAAATGACCAGTCAAGTTGTGTTTGAAATTTGATTTTTTTCAGGGGCAAAAGGAGCCTCTGCATTCTTGTCAAATATGTAAATAGCATGTTTTTGCAGGTGCTAAAAACCAGACTCTGAGTGTGTGTGTGTGTGCGTGTGTGTGTGTGTGTGTGTCTGTGTGTGTGTGTGTGTGTGTGTGTGTGTGCGTTCAAGTCACATGACATATTTAACCGGATGTAGCTGCAAGACGGAGCCTCGTTGACTCCGTTTCAACTTATCTCAAAAGTGAGGACCTCAACCTATATACCAGTTTTTAAATTGTGTTGATAGGCCAAATAAAACCAGAGTTATGATAAATTATGTCCGCGATACTTGTTTTCTGCTTATTTTGATCACGTTCGGCGCTCGATTGCGCTGTATGAGACAGGAAAACATAGCATGCAGACATTAGCGACAGGTCTTACAGGCGGAAAAGGCTTGCCAAAGGAAAAAAAAAACACACCACAACATCTCTCCTATTGGTGGAAAACTTCACCACAACAACCAATCCAAAATTATATGGTGACTGATTGACAAGGGGCGGGCGCTTACGTTCTTCCTGCAATATGAGAAGGGAGGGAGGGACTCTCAGCAGGGATGCAGTCTGGGACACGTAGTTGCAAACCTAGCGACTTTGTTGTTAGATTCAATGACTTTTCAGACCCCCTAACGACTTTTTTTTTAGAAAGAAAGTGACTTTTATCGACTTCTTCTGGAGTTTAGAGACTCTGACATGAAGCAGGCTTTCCTTACTGAGGAGTTAGCAACGCTGCTAAGGGTGCAGAGCCACACATGCGCTCCGAGCTCTGCATGGGAGACTGAAGCTGACAGAGCTGCAGCAGTTAGCAGGTTTCACCCTCAGAGACCACCAGGGGTTCATGTTGAGGCATTTTCAGTTTTTTTTTTTTTTTTGCCATAGACACTGTCAGCACAATCTGCAGTTACACTAACAAAAATGCTGCAAAAAACAAAGAATTATGGAAAAATTACACATGGACTAACATAGAGGAGGATCTACACAAGTTTTTTACATCATGTTTTACATCATGCATCATTTACATCATGTTTTTTTGTAGTGGCATAAATAAAAAGTGACATTTGTGAGACTATACAGTGTTTTGTAAATAATTTTACAAAGAACACCTGGGCCATTGCCTGCATTTTGATGTAAATAGAGGTAAATTACTATGTTCTTTGTTAAAAATTTGCATATGTTTTGAAGTTTACAATTTTTATTTGAAGTTTAAGTTTTAAAAACAGTTCATCACACATATTTGTGGTTTTCACAGTAAAAACGTTACTTTTTTCCACTCGGATTTTATGTTTTGTGTGTGAATTTGGGTCCAATGTGTAAATATAGTATGTCAAAATGATAAAATAACTGTAAATTGACACAGGTGAGGTTGTGCTGAAAAAAATGATACCAGGCAAGGCAAGGTAAAAATTTTGTAAGAGGAAATATAAAGGTAAAATCTAAAGTAGTCAAAAACGGCCAATAGTGACTCACAGACTCCACAGACAAGTCCCTTTGGCGCCACTCAGTGGGCAAAACTACTTTGTCTACTGTAATGTATATTTGGGTCATCTTTGGCGCCCCCTAAAACGTAAACCGTGGGGTGCAGCGTCATGATTTTTACAACTTTGAATGGCCATGGAGTGTAGATTGGCCTGAGCAAATTTGGTGTCAGTGGGACGAAAGCCTTAGGAGGAGTTAGCGAAATTCCAATGTGTGCGAATCGGCAAAAAATGCAAAATAGCCCTTTTACCGTACATTATACAGATACGCGCTCTTTGACTTTTTCGTAGATCTAATTGAGATACACATGATTGTCAATTTTTGTGTCATTTTGCCAAAGCGTACAGGCGTGACAGTCAACAATGTGTATTTTCACCTTAGGGGACAAGAAAAAATGGACTTTTTTCTCCTGCCATGGGGGGGCGCTCTTTTAGGGAGTAAAAATTCCTTCACAAATGTGTTGATGGCTGGACATTGCATCATCCTAGAAAACTTGGAGGCCAGTGAGGACAAAAATAAAAAGTTATAAGACTTTTAAAAATGTGGATTTTTGGGTTATCTTTGGCGCCCCCTAGAACGTAAACCGTGGGGTGCAGCGTCATGATTTGAATAACTTTTAATGGCCATGGGGTGTAGATTGGCCTGAGCAAATGTGGTGCCGGTGGAACGAAAGCCTTCAGAGGAGTTAGCGAAATTCCAATGTGTGCGAATCGGCAAAAAATGCGGAATAACCCTTTAACCGTACATTTGACAGATACGCGCGCATGGACTTTTTTGTAGATCTTATTGAGATACATGTGTGTGTCAATTTTTGTGTCATTTTGACAAAGCGTACAGGCGTGACACTCAACAATGTGTATTTTCACCTTAGGGGACAAGAAAAAATGGACTTTTTTCTCCTGCCATGGGGGGGCGCTCTTTTGGGGAGTAAAAATTCCTTCACAAATGTGTTGATGGCTGGACATTGCATCATCCTAGAAAACTTGGAGGCCAGTGAGGGCAAAAATAAAAAGTTATAAGACTTTTAAATATGTGGATTTTAGGGTTATCTTTGGCGCCCCCTAGAACCTAAACCGTGGGGTGCAGCGTCATGATTTGAATAACTTTTAATGGCCATGGGGTGTAGATTGGCCTGAGCAAATGTGGTGCCGGTGGAACGAAAGCCTTCAAAGGAGTTAGCGAAATTCCAATGTGTGCGGATCGGCAAAAAATGCGAAATAACCCTTTAACCGTACATTTGACAGATACGCCCGCACTGACTTTTTTGTAGATCTTATTGAGATACATGTGTGTGTCAAATTTTGTGTCATTTTGACAAAGCGTACAGGCGTGACACTCAATAGTGTGAATTTTCACCTTAGGGGGCGCTATGGAGCCATTTTGCATTTTCTTGTTTGGGCGACTTCGGAATATCGAATTTTTCACCAGGCCCGGTCGTCCTGCCAAATTTCATGAGTTTTCGCCAGTGGGAAGTGGGCCATTTTCCAGTTCAAAGGGGAGGAAAAAGAAAAAAGAAACAAAGAAAAACCCCTTGGGGAATAATAGGGCTCTCGCAGCTGCTTAGCAGCTACGCTCGGGCCCTAAAAAGAAACAAAGAAAAACCACTTGGGGAATAATAGGGCTCTCGCAGCTGCTTAGCAGCTACGCTCGGGCCCTAATAATAATAACAAAAGAAGGAAACTACAGGAACAAGAGGGCTCTCGCAGCTGCTTAGCAGCTACGCTCGGGCCCTAACAACAAAAACACTTAAGAGCAGCTTTAAGAGTTACTGAATACTTCCTGAACACGGGGGCTTTGCTGTCCTCTGGTGGTTTCAGTGGACTCCAGGGCCCTGTGACATCCCCCGCTGGGCGTGGTTACAGCATCAACAGACTAAAGGGGTCTCCTAAACTGACCCTTACACACTTCTTCTCTGTTTGTGCTTCTGCGTAGAGAGTACACCGCAGCTCTAAACCTCAGTGAGCGGAGTGGGAGTGGGTTGTTGAACCTGCCAACGGCGAGTCTGCACTGATGCTTTCTTGCTGACCAAGTGTAATATAGTTTACTGCTCAGATCATCATTTCATACTCTGCGTATCAGAGGTCCATGTTATGAACCCACACAGGAGTAAACTGCGTTATCAAGATATGTCAACTGATCATAATCTATGTCACATGCAAGAATGGATGAGTGAAATTCCTGTTTCCATGGGAGCGTGGGGATTTTGTCCTTGTCGTTCACCTTAAGAAAGAGGTGAGAAGGGCCCCCTACCTCTAAGCAACTACTCTAGTAATGGACATGGCCAAAAATGACTCTTTTGAATTTCAGTCAGAAAAAGCAGCAAAATACTGCTTTCCAGGCACTCTATGACTCAAATGTATTTCTGGAGTATCTCTGCTTTGCTTGAGTATTTTGGTTCAGGGGGAAACTTCTTACTTTGTACTTTTGACTCCACTATTTATTCTCTCTAGTGTTGCTGTTATTGTATGATGTTCAGAGCACATATCACTCAGATCGGGGAGTTTATTTAGAGGAGTAAATGATGGTTACAGTGAAGAAGGGTAAAGGTGCACCATCTAAGCATCCATTGCAATATCTCAAGGCCAGGATTGAGGTTTTTGAACTGAACCTAATCATGCATTGGGAAAATACAACAGATTTTCTCTTGTGGGACTAATAAAGGAGTATCTTATCTAATTTTGTTTTGTTTGTTTTGAACCTTTTAAAGACCCACTCCGGTGAGAATCATGTTTTTCTTGTTGTCTACATGTTCATATCTGATGCTATAGGACGCTCAAGCCAAATGCAGGCTGTCGGCTCTGTACATCGAACAGAACATTACAGAACATTACCGCACATCGGAATCTCCTAACCCTAACCCTCATCCTAATTCTAACTGTAACCCTAACCCGACAGACAATGACGTTTCACAGCCATTAGGAATAACCAATTGGAGCCCAGCACTTCTAGCAAATCAAAGGCGAAGGAATTCCTGCAGAACATATCATGAGAAAATAAGTGCCAAGTTGCATTTTTGACTATTTCTGCATTTAAATCGCTGTGAATCTCTCACAATCCCAAACAGCAGTTTCAGATTCAGTGAGATTTCCTACGTAGCAAATCCAAGCTCCGCCCCTGGAGCCCCGCTATGCAGGCCGTACTCGGAAAAATAGAGGACAATCGCGGAACAAGTGTGTGCGTTAGCGGATTGCAATGCTTGTAAGAAAGCTAATGATTATGATATTAACTTTCATCGCGTCCCTGAACACATTAGTGTCTGAGAGCTGAATAACTCCAATGTTACCTGCCACTTCTAATACATCGGCAATGTTAGGCTACAAGCTAGCATGACGCGGAGTGTGCAGAGCAGCGCTGTCTCCACCCACGACTCAGAGGCGAATTGCTCATGAGCTACTGGAGCTTTGCAGAAGAAAAGCTGTTGAAAATAACACATAATGTGATTTGGGCTAAAAACCTCATAATCAAAATTTAAGGACCACTGAGAACACTTTAAGTAGTAAAGATGATTGGAGTGGGACTTTAAATGGTGTTTTAATTGTATAATTGAATTAAAGGCATACTTGTTTTTTTCAGTAAGTCACCCCTTTTTCGTTATACATGGACAAACCAAAGCAACAAGACTAAATGCTTTGAAATGCAAATTAACTCAAGAAAAACATGAGTTTTTCGATTGTTGTCGAGGAGTTACATCCCCTCTTCACCGTGAGTTACTTGAGTCTACAACGGCTCCTCTCTGTTGGAGCTTCTCCAGAGTGATAAAGAAAACCATTGCCAAAATTCTGGGTCAGGTTGACTCAATCAGCCCCACAGGGACACTGTAAAAACTTAAAACTTCTCTGTTTTATTCCAACACCGCATGAGAGCTTAAGCCCAAGATCCCTACAAAGATCTATGTTGCCAAACAGAGAAAAGTCCAACAAGCCAGCTGGGAATGAGCCTCAACTCCTCCAACAGTTGCACAACCCTAACGCAATCTGGACCCACCAAACTTCTGCCAAAGACGGAAAAAAAACATCAACCCCTGGACATCCACCACGAGATCTCTGTGCTGTTTATCACTAAACAAATACTAAGAGGAAGATTATCTCGGGCACTGTGAGCGAGCAGAAACTGAGAAAGACAAACACTCAGTCGGTGACCAAAGTCTGGCTATATTGGGACTGTGGGACAAACCTGGCAACTGAAAGAAAACAGACTGTGAGAGTTCTGCCAGCATTAAGAGCAACGCTTCCTGCTACACTGCGGCCTGAATGAAAATGTCAGATCTGGATCCTTTTCCAAAATAAAACTTCAGTGCTCACAACCAAATTCAATATTTTCTCTTTGAAAAATAAAACAGAAAAGATCTGTCATGGCTCGAAGCTTCAAAAAATGTCAGAACATGTCAGAGCCTGGAGAGAAACCAGCACAACCGAGTGCACTGGTCTTCAAGATCTGCCAAGTCTTTATGTTTTATTTTTATTCCTCTTTTTTTTTTACCACTGTTAATACATCCTCTCCTTTTACTTCATAAATATGAGATTGTTTAAAAAAAACCTCTTACTGTTCCATTTTAATTTCCTTTCACTCTCTAACCTGAGTTTCCTTTTTAAGGCCGTATCTACAGTATATACACAAAGCATTAACATATAAATGTGGTATGGAGGCTGTGATATGAGTTGTGGGCTGTATTGTACATAAATCCATATTAAAAAGCAAAAACCTCCCAAGGGGGAGCAATGATGTACTACAGAAGCATAACCAAAAAGAGGAAATGATAACAAGATAACAATAGAAACTATGGTTTTATCATTTTTACACGATGTACAGCGACATTTTTTCAAAGCTGACACTGGAGTCTTTGTTCGACTCTACTGTAAAACTCGACGGCAAAGTCACGAAAGCAAATCTTTGAGAAAATAGCGAGTAAAAGACTGAGGGACAGGAGAGTGAAACCCGAGGCAATCAGAAAGTAAAAACTGAATAAGTTGGAGATTACTCTCTCGTCTGTGTCTGTGTGTGATGCAGGACTCCTTCACAGCACACTGACCAGGCCTCATAAAGCACCCCTGCCTTGCATATCTCCCCACTGGGGCTATTATCTTCACACCTCTGTGCCCTCAGAATCACAAACGTTACCTCCTCACCATGTCGCCCTCGCTCTCAACCACGTACTCTGTTCCACCCTCAGGCTGCTTCGCCGGTGGGTCCGCTTGCAAAAGGTTAAACTGGGCCCCAGTCAGCCATGGAAGGCTGGAATGGTGAAAGCTTAAAGTCAAACACAGCGAGTTTGCAGAAGTGATTCTTTCTGCTAAATTCACACTATTGACAAAAAATAAACTTAATGTGTGTTTAGCACTTTAAAGGGATTTAATTTACTTTGCAAAGAGCAAATAGCAGATAAAACCCAATACAAACAGTAAAGTGTCTCAACATTGATCGAATGCAGAATAAACCGACCAATAAAACGACTGTTTTTTGAGTATTCTTTATTATTTAGCCAATTTCACTTATATGGGGCTGTAAATACCCTCGTAGCATCACTTCAGGGGTCCCCAAACTTCTCCGCATGTAACCCCCGGAGAGCGCGAAGACCCGGGCTGTCATATGAGGTGATTGAATGTCACTCATCGCCGCGTACAAGCACATATAAACCAATCCAAAAATGGCTTTTTTTGAAGACAAGCGTGTTACTCCACAGACTCTGCCGTTCTCTGAGCCACGCCATTCCATGTCACTGTCACTGCGTCGCTTCTCTGCTCATGAAATGTCCCAACCATGATACCGCCATGAATAAAACATCAGATAATTTCCAGTCTCTCTGTTCGGCTATTGAACATCAGAAGAAAACATTTCCTATCATCAAACTATCAAGAAAATGGTTACGTATCGGCCTTCAGCTGGCGCTTCCTTTGTCTAGTCGAACAAACACTGCAGCAAACCTGCAGCTTCAAATATGCATGCAACATGTGGATCTTTTAAGGGGGCTCTGCAAGCAGTTCATGGTTTTTTTTAGTTGCATGTGCTAATTTTTTTATCGATCCAACCATCTCTCTGTTATGTAAAAAAAAAAAAAATACTGCTTCGGGAGTACAGCGTTCATCAAAAGCAACAAACTATCTTTCTTTCCATCAAAGTGTTTTCTTATACAGTGAACATGTTGGACAGGAAAGATGAGGCAACATCGTCAGACATTGAAGAGACGGCGCTCAGTCATTAAAACCTCTCAGGACCACAACATGGCGTGATACAAAGTTAACAAATCAGACAGCGCTTGATGTTCTTGGAGACGGTTCTGGATGCTCGTCTTCTTTACTCCCCTGGTGGAAATGCCCACAATTCTTTACAGAGAATTTTCAAGAGTGGAAGAAAGCTGCATTGTAAATGAGATGTGTGGGTTGGAGCGTAGGCGGGGTTGGGGGTAGGGTATATTCTGTGCAGTATCTTTGCTGGTGGGATTTATTAATACACAGTATGTGGTTATCTTGTCTAGAGACAGTGATTAGTACATTGTTAGCGATAATTGGAGGTAAAGGATTGTGGAAATTTCATGGTATGATAATCTAACTGGAAAATCACTTATAATGGAGTTTCCAGGCTCTGAGCCGAGTGAAGCTGGGATCCCCTCACAATGTAGGCTTTAAACAATACTTTGTGTGATGTGCAGATGCAGATTTTTAACTCCCACGCAGCAAGAGTTAAAGTAATACCGCTCACATTTATGGTTGTTTAAAAGGAAGGAAAGACACGGTGAGTAAATGAGCCGTTTATGGAAATGTTCCTACTCTTGTCACAAACCTATTTTTCCCTCCATGAATAGGGTGTAATAATCCTTCCTGTTAAAATTAGTATGGTACTGGGTGTACACTATATGAACGGTTATCAATTTCTACATTTAATACTTTATATGCACTGTATTAATCCTAATCCCCCATTACCAGAAATCTGTCTAACAATTGTCCTGACTGCAGCAGTGAATGTAATGAATCTTTCTCAGTCAGACACATAATTAGATCTTCTTTGTCTGCTGCAGAAACTCAGTTAGTACTTCATAAGACACTTTTATTTATCAAGCACTGGGTAGTTTTCTGCTGATCGCCAGCAGACAACAAATTCAAATCAATATGAGTTTGTGGACGCTCCAGTTTGGTTGCCAAAAGACTGTTTTTCATCACAACAAAAAGTATCTTGTCTTCTATAGCCATGCAAACAGAATTCATACAGAACTAGTACACAGTTAACATGCTAAAAAAAGGTTTTGGTTTAGGTTCTAATGAGTGTATACTGACTGCCTCAGTTATGCATCTGCAGGGGCGTATCATACTTTCTTTGACTGGGGTGGTCCAGCATGGGCACCACTATTTGTAGGGTGACTATACGTCTTCTTTTACCCGGACATGTCCTCTTTATCGGGGGCTGTCTGGGCTTGTCTGGCTTTGTCTGGGGAAGTTAATATAATCCTTCAAATGTCTGCAGTTTTGTACAAGAGTTTTAATTTTGTGTCACATGGACTTACTGAGTTGGAAGCGCGTAAAAGACACTCGATCTGACCCGAAAAACTCTCAAAATTGACTTTGTGACTCCGCCCCCGCAGAGCCGTGTCCTCAGAGTCAGAATATGGTCACCCTACTATTTGTCTAATATGAATACTTAAGTATCATACAGATGTTGCATAACTGTATGTGATATTCAGTGGATTTAAAATGTGTCAAAATACTGCAGAAACACTTAAATCTTCTCGGTGTAATTAAGTGTAAAGACTGACAAGTGTGCCCTCAAAGTCAAAAATTAAATTACTTTATAATCTGCAATATATATACTTGCAATTTTCATTTCAATGTGAAGGAGTTTACGCACAATTAAGATGGACTGATTCCTCCCCAGCACATTAATCATATGAAACACATAGAGGAAGGGTTTTTCTATAATCTAAAGAGAATATGCTGCATAGGAGTCAATGCAATATAGCCTGTTTACAAGGGGTGCATGCATACATCACTAGGCTAGTGCAGTGAGCTGGATTTCATTGCAAGGAAAGCAGTTAGTTGCTTGAAACACAGTCCATATAGTCAATTTCACAAGCCATCACAAGCCAATCATAGTTTAAGATATGGGCTGGGGTGGCTCCTTGATGGGCCCACACCACCCTTTACCAGCCCTTTAGACACACCCCTGTGTATCTAACAAACAACATATAATAAATAAACCTCTAATCAACACTAATGCACTTGCCAAGTATAACATAAGTGCATGACATTTTTGAAAACTGTACCTCTCAAAGCCTAAAAAGAAGTCGGCTTATCAGCAGACCTCAACACTGACCCACACTGTCACACAGGAATCAAACCCTGATCTTATTGGACCGATCTATTCACAACCACTATTCCAAGAGGACTCTCACGCTCTGCACTTTTCATTAGCGAAATTTAAAATCAGATCAAAATCATATGCAAGAGAACAGAACAGGAGTCAGGACTGTGTTGGGTAGAGGTTTCATCAGATTTATCAATGAGAGATATTTCAAAATAAGCCACAACCTCAGAGCTGCAGATACTGAATCCAAAAAAAGAAAAAAAATCCACCTTCTTTCCATCCATGTAGACTCACGAGAAGGGCAGAGACAAGAAAGCACAGCCTGGAATCCGTCTCCTGAAATAACCTCGAACCATTCAAACTAGATGAGCTGATTGAGAAAATGGTTCATAAGCCCACGATGATGTAATCCACCGGTCAGTGCAAAATGTTTGTGAAAGTGTTTTCACACTGCGTTCAAAGCAAATTGATATTACATAACACAAAGAACAGAAACTTTAACTTTTCCTCAGAGGTTGCTAGAAGGCATGGACTGGCGCTGATCTGGCAGCCACAGTGCGTCTGTGCCAGACCCAAGTCACAGCGGGTCAGCTGGTGCCAGAACACAGCCGACACTCAGACACAATCAGCTCGACTTGGCTGGAGAGTCTCGACGCCTTTGTTCCTTGTCCTGTTCCCTGTATCATAGGAAAGCACAGCAGATGATAAAACTGCAGGAGAGAGTGAGATCAGGTAAAGTGAGGTAACATAGCTTCACTCCTCCCCCTCTGCTCTCAGTATGCAACCGCCTTTAAGCCCTCTGCATATGACACATTTCCATTTTAAGTTCAAAACTCTTACAGTATTCCTCCCAGCGTCTCAAGGTTTTTGTGTGCCGGTGAGGCTCCACCACAAAAGTCACACAGTCAGCAGCTTCACTCACTTCAGTCATCAGTTCCAGATCTGGCCTATTGTGGTGCAGACATGCTCTGCGGTTTTTGTTTGAGTTCTCTCATCCAAACTACAGTGTGTCAGACCAGAAAGTTAAAACTAGATTCTTGCAGAAGAAAAATAAGCTGTAACACTTGTAACACTCC